CGTCATTAATAAATGACATTAACAACACAACAAAGTCTCCATTATCCTTTATAATCCGACATAATATGATCTAAAAGCAAACTAACTGTGGTATCTTTGCTCGGTTTCAGAGATGACTTAAAAAAGGTACATGAGTTATGCACATGTACGTGTTGTGATAACGGTAGAGACACCGAAGGAAGTTGTTACATTTGTAAGTACTCAATACCGGGAATAGTGATAATCGGCGGGTGTAAGGATGGTCGATAGTATTACGTATTGTGTTGACTTTGGCGCCGTTATCACGTCGTTATCGGCCGGGACAGAGTACACACGAGCCCAACGGGACATTTTACATGTGTGGTGACAAAGACAACAAATACAGACAGCATCACAGACAACGCACACGGCACCAGTCCAGGTAGGCATGGTCAACACGTCTTTCATTTAATAACTCTCATTTCGTGTTTTTGCATTTATATTTTATTTTTTCATCATGTAGTTAACAAAGTATGTGTGAAACAGTGACTCTATTTCCGGTTTATATTTCATATGTGTTGTTGCAGATTTTAACATGACCCTACGCACATTGCTGTTACTTGTAAATTTCTTTTATACCACAGGGGAGTGTTGATCAGGCGTTTCACGTCAACATGATATCATTCTGGCACGTGCTGTTGCTTCCCCTTCTCTTTGGAATTAGTATGCAAGGTGAGTGATTTTTAATACCGGATACCTTTGTACATATGGAACACTATAGTATGGCTGATAAATAGACCTTAAACACGAATTCAAGCTTCCTGGTTTCGAACGGTTGAAGAAGAGGACACTTACCCCTCCGGAACGCATGGTCTTATTATCCTTTTAAAGTTTAAAAATGTTCCAGGAAATCTTCCTTTTGTTCATTAGTTTGCCCTAGTTTAGTATATCCTCAGTGGGAATTACCGTTTTGTTCACACTTCGTTATTATCTTCTTATTTTCCGGTAGTTTTAGCGGATACATATATATAAAGGTCATCAAAAAGAGAGAACTGGTACTTCGAAGCATCGGGGTATCGATTGAAATAAATATCTGTTCAAGCACTTATACGATTTCAGATTATATAATAAGTCGAAATGAATGCAAGCAGTAAACAACAAATGCCATGAAGAACGAGATATTGGAACTGTTTACGGGTATTAAACGGGAAAGACTTACGACTTTAGTATCACCTCTTGTTTGGGATAAAGTTTCTAAAAGAGGGAGCCCCAGAAATTTAAAGTAAAACGAGACAATGCAGCAAGACGGTCCACAAGGACACTGTCACAGAAACCGTATTGGAAATACTACGAAATAATAAAACATGAATCCCAAATAAACATTTAAGGTGACACCAGAAATTTGGGAGGGTGGTGGTTCTGCACCACTTGTTGTATCCGCCATGTTGCTCCCATCGAATCATTGCATAGTCGGAATAAGGCAACAACAGGAGCGACAAAGGTGCAGTATACAAAACAGTTCGATATTCATCAAAGACGTAATGCAATTCAAATAATTTTCTTTAAGCTATTTGGTAATACAAACCTAAGAATCATTGAATCGTTTAAGATTTAATCTAGTTTGATTGTGAAAGAGTGATATATTTCTCTTAGTCTTAGTCTCCAAGTCTAGTTGGTATACACCTGGTACATTGTTACACACTCCGATATGTTGCTGATAATTGATATGACATTCAAATTTGGTAAATGAGGTAATGTCACGATCCTTAGGTCAAATTTGAAGTATTCGCCTAATGTTATCAACAGTCACTAATGTTTCTATAATTCTGTTACAGATGTAGTGTCGAATACAGGGTGTCCCAGTTCAGCTGACCGCGTTACTAAAACCATACCAGAAAATTTACCAAAAGGTTTGTTCATGACGACATCAGCAACCATTTGTCATATACATGCCTTATGTAATAATTAAAAAACATTAATTTGGTAATATTTAAATAAACACTTTATGTATAATCCTGCCTCTATTATTGAAAAAAAGTAATCACCTCGTTGACGTGAATGTGAGTTATTAACTAAAAAATGCACTTTCATTTGGAAAAAAGAAAACATTGGGTGCACTCAGGCAGATTCGAAACATAAATGCATTATAGGCTATCAGAAAGTTAAAGCATTAACCAATATACCAAGAATTCTACAATATATCCGAAAACAAGTATTTAACTATGTAAGTGTTTAACCTTGTTGCTAGCCTGGTTTATTGCTAACCTATGATATTATTTCTTGGAAAGGTATGGATACATTTTAAAATGTTTGTAACGGACCAGATCGATATATATGCAAATGACTGATGTGATTTTAAGATCATATTACACAATCAGACAGAAATATCACAAAAAATGTTTACCACGAGACATCTATGCAATATCTTAAACATGAAATTCTCTTGCAGGAACGGAGCTTTTCATCTTCACAAACATAAGTGGTATCACGCTTTCTGAGCCAGAATCATCACATTTTAATGTCATTGCTAAGGGAGGTGACAGGTACGGAATCAACGTCCTGAAACCATACGACTTCGAGAAGCTTCAGGTAAGGTACCAATAGGGAGGGAGTCTGAACGGCGGAGGATGTCCAGTGGAGACAATTGATAACTTAGTGTTTCATAACTATATGATCTCTAAATGAGTTTTCATTTCATCTGCCGTACATGTACGTCAGAGGAACCTTGACATTTTAATCGATGCATTGTCGAGCTAAAAGGAAAACGTCGTTTCGCAATTTATAAATCCATATGATATGGAAATTAATTCAAAGTCCTCTCTATCGCATTACAAATGCTAATATGTAAATACCTATGGAAAACATTTTTTTCTGACCATGGTCATACCTTAATGTGCCCATGTTGATATATTGCCGTCATTGCCGTGATTATGTCTAGAAGTAAAACTGATGTCACAGTGGTTGTGTCTACATGAGCGTTCACAAAAATAGAGTACTCAAGGTTTAATGATGGGATCTTATTTATAATGATCCTCAGTTTAAACAAATATAATGAATGAATATAACAAATCGGTCCCGTATGCTTTGTCAGCATTGTGCCAACCCTGTTTATACTTTCAGTCGTCGACGTCGTTGTTCAGGGAGAGTGTTCCTTTTACATGTACTTCGAAAGATGGACAAGTCGTACAGGTTTGCTATATGAAAATCTGTGTAGTTCGAGTTTTGTAATATATTGAGAATGATATGTTGTTCCTGTATTCCAGCCATATATATCTGATTTGACAACCTACTTTGATAGCACACTTTATGAGTAAATATGCAGGCAGTAAAGTATGCATGGTTTCGAATTTTGTACTAGTTTTGTTTATTTCCTGGAGTATTTTATCGCTTAAAACGAATTATATACATGGAATATATTCTAAGTTAAATAGCGATGATCATAATTAATGCATTTCGATTGAACATAGATTTTTGGTTGTTTTAAGAAAGATACATGTAGCAATATCAAGTTCGAGTAATACTGTTTGTCAACACGCTTTGTTTTCAGGGTAATCTTATGATTGTAGTGACAAATGTGATAGAAAGTTCACCAGACTTTGGAAGCAGTAATTATTCACAATTCGTTATACCGGAGGTATGTAGATACACAAAATTCCTATATAAAGTGTAAGATCACTCAAATTCTACATTGTACATTTATTGCATTGAAATGCTATCCGATTATGTGTAGTTGTCATATTCGTATTTAATTTGGTATTTCATAGTTATAGCACTGGTATTCAATGCGGTTTTATGTGATTATATAAAGATATTTGTATTAAATACGATACTGGGTGGTCGCAGTGCTGACATGTGATTCGTATTACATGTACATGATTTTGTCCTTAAAGGCAAATTTTAGGACTTTATTACAGACCTGATATGCCATTATGTTAATCATTTTTGTTTCTATTGTTTTCAATGTGCTGGGAAAACTTTTTTTAACAAATTAACGGCATACCAACAGCAAGTAATGGCATTCGATTTCTCTCCATGCTTTCTTTCTTTGCTTCTGTGCCTCGGTAGCCGTGCGCTAACGCGCACAGTCATTACTACTGTGTGCAATCAAGCGTGAATAAACCATTTTATATTCGCCTTATCTTAAGCCCACCTTTAGTTTTATACTGTCGTTATTTACTGTACAAGTACGTCCATTTACACATGTACCTACGTACAGCAGTTATTAGTATAACAACACCTTTATTTCAGAACACTCCGATCAATACCGAAGTTGGCACACTCCACGTTACCTTGGCAGACGACAGGGATGGAAATATTATTGTCAACTTTGGACTGGTAAGTGTTTCTTTGTTAAAGTGATTCATATTATAATCATATACAACCAGTCAATTAGATATTTGTTGATTTGCTATGTAGTTTTAAAAATATAATTGTTCGAAAATATATTTCGTTATCCTGACTATATAAGTATGTGATAATTACTTTAAAATACGATACAGATATGTAAATACATTATTTATTTGTAGATAGTTTTATCATATGATTACCGTGTTATGTAGTGTCGTTAGCCATAACACAAATATAGGATCTTAAACGAGATTTCATTTCATTTGAGATTTTATGAAATAAGTCTTAGGAGTTTAAATTTTTGCGAGCAAAGATTAAAACTTCGAGACGAGTTTCATAAAAGCTCAT